GTGCCAAATTTTGTACGGTGAATGAAAACACATCCTGCATATCAGATATTTACATTACAATTCATAACAGTAGCAAAACTACAGTGATGAAGTAGCAATAGAAATAATTTTATGGTTGGTGGTCACCACAACATGAGGAACTGCATTAAGGGGTCGCGGCATTAGGAAGGTTGAGCGCCACTATTCTACAGTATAGATGCACCCTATTTGTGCCAAATCAAGGACTGCTGGAGGGTAAGGGTAAAATGAGAGTGTAGTTCCCTCACCCTTGAAAGTTGTCCTCACTTTCTTAGAGCTCTGCTTCTTGCCTCAAATTGAGGCTTCTGCAGACAGTTTTGCCTCTTTTCCTGTTGCTTTCCAGGGCTGACCCCATTATTAGGCAAGATGAGAAAAGCACCTTGAAGGTTTCCTAAAAGGATTGCAAATGTTTATTTGCTTTTATCCCACTGGAGCATTGCAGCACACCCAAATCCCTGGGAGTCACCCTGGACCATGCTCTGACCTACAAGAAGCACTGCCTGAATATCAAGCAAAAAGTGGGTGCTAGAAACAATATCATACGAAAGCTGACTGGCACAATCTGGGGATCACAACCAGACACAGTGATGACATCTGCCCTTGCGCTATGCTACTCTGCTGCTGAGTATGCATGCCCAGTGTGGAACACATCTCACCACACTAAAACAGTGGATGTGGCTCTTAATGAGACATGCCGCATTATCATGGGGTGTCTGTGCCCTACACCACTGGAGAAATTGCACCACCTGACATCCGCCGGGAAGTAGCAGCCAATAGTGAAAGGACCAAGGCAGAGACATTTCCAGCTCATCCCTTGTTTGGGTATCAGCTGGCACATCAATGACTTAAATCAAGAAATAGTTTTCTAAGATCTACAGAGACACTCGCTGAAACACCTCAGCAAGCGAGAGTCCAGAAGTGGCAGGCTCAACCCCAGCACCACAACCAATGGCTGATACCAAATGAGAGACTCCCCTCGGGCACACAGAGGACTGGGCGACTTGGAAGGCGCTGAACAGACTGCGCTCTGGCACCACGAGATGCAGAGCCAACCTCAAGAAATGGGGCCACAAAATGGAATCCACGGCATGCGAGTGTGGAGAAGAGCAAACCACTGACCACCTGCTGCAATGCAACCTGAGCCCTGCCACATGCACAATGGAGGACCTCCTTGCAGCAACACCAGAGGCACTCCAAGTGGCCAGATTAGATGTCAAAGGACATCTAATCAACTACCAAGCTTGCAAATTTTGAGCTTTGTCTGTTTGTTTTGTTCTGCTAGAAATGTAATATAATTGTCTGGTTGCCCCTGACACGATAATTAAATGAATGAATATATATAAATAAATAAATAAATTTGTTTTTATTCTCCTTGAATTGCCAGGGATGCAGAGATCCACCTGTGGGTTTGGGTTTTGTTTTGTTTTTTCTGTCTCTTGTGGCAAAATTTTGGACTGGTGTGGGAATGATGCAGTTGAGCTTGGCTTCATCCTTTATTGATCTGCCTTGGGCCGCACAATGTCTTTGGGCCAAGCCTTTCCCCTTGCTTCTGAAACAGTGTGCTATTCAGGCCTCCCGGCTGTAGCTTGGAGGTAAATGTGTCTCCAGTGCAACCCTAATCAAGATTAACTCCACTCTGCAGGATAATGGATGGCAAAGCCCCCGTTTTGATTTCCCTCCTGCCTCCACCTCTGCCCCCCTCTTTGCTCCGTTCCGCTTCCCACGCATCTGTTCGGGGTGATCTTACTCACAGTCATATGATCTCAGCCTATGACTCACCTACTCCTCCAAATCGGTGGCTTCATCAAGAATGGCAAAGCTCAGCCAGCCAGTTTCGAGGACTCTCAGAAGAGAAAACACAACACACACGTAAAATACTTGGAACGCTTTACAGAGTGTAGATGGCACATTTTGATTAATCAAAGACATCTAATCGCCAGGGGAAGGTTTAAAAGGTGTGCTTTGCAACGTTTGGATTTCTTAACATTCATAGTTTGAAGTTTTGCATGGCCCCCTGCTCCATTTGCCCATTTTAAATTACATCGGAGACTGGGCAGCTAGTTGCACAATCTTATGCTTGTAATGCATGTCACTCAAATTTTTTGCTCTTTATATATATGGCATGGACTGGTCCATGAGGTCACAAAGAGTCAGAAGCGACAACAATAAAATATATTGTTGTTGTTTGTTGTTCATTCGTTCAGTCGTCTCCGACTCTTCGTGACCTCATGGACCAGCCCACGCCAGAGCTCCCTGTCGGCCGTCACCACCCCCAGCTCCTTCAAGGTCAGTCCAGTCACTTCAAGGATGCCATCCGTCCATCTTGCCCTTGGTCGGCCCCTCTTCCTTTTGCCTTCCACTTTCCCCAGCATCATTGTCTTCTCTAGGCTTTCCTGTCTCCTCATGATGTGGCCAAAGTACTTCAACTTTGTCTCTAGTATCCTTCCTTCCAGTGAGCAGTCGGGCTTTATTTCCTGGAGGATGGACTGGTTGGATCTTCTCGCAGTCCAAGGCACTCTCAGCACTTTCCTCCAACACCACAGCTCAAAAGCATTGATCTTATATTATATGGTATATATTGTGTCCTGGAGCCAGGGGTGGTTCAACCCATTACGTATTTGCAGTATAGTTGATTTTGCCCAGGGGCACTCTTGAGGCGCTCTGGGGGGAAAATAGACCTTGACATTTGGGAGTTGTAGTTACTGGGATGTATAGTTCACCTACAATTAAAGAGCATTCTGAACTCCACCAATGATGGAATTGAACCAAATGTGGCACACAGAACTCCCACGACGAACAGAAAATATACATCAGTGATTGGTTGGGGGCAAAATACTGCTTGCTTACCGTTGAAAATTACCTAGTGCCGCCTCTGCCTGGAGCCCCCAGTAGCACAGTGGGTCAAACCACTGAGCTGCTGAATTTGCTGACCAAAAGGTCACCAGTTCAAATATGGGGAGTGAGGTGAGCTCCTGTTGTTAGTCTCAGCTTCTGCCAACCTAGCAGTTCAAAAACATGCAAATGTGAGTAGATCAATAGGTACCGACTTGGCGCGAAGGTAACGGCACTCCATGCAGGCATGCCAGCCACATGACCCTGAAAGTGTCTATGGACAACGCTGGCTCTTTGGCTTAGAAAAGAAGATAAGCACCAACCCTCAGAGTCAAATATGACTAGACTTAATGTCAAGGGGAAACTTTAACCTTCACCTATATATTGTGCCCTGCTGGAGGAGACATATAGGCTTTGATACAAAGCAGATGGTAGCAATGTCAACCAGGTTTTCCAAGTGTTCTTTATTATAAGGAATGGCCCTTCATTGAGGTCACAAAGATTCAGAAGCAACAATAATTTTTATATATATATATGGTATATATTGTGCCCTGGTGCCCCCAGTGGCACAGTGGTCAAACTGCTGAGCTGCTGAACTTGCTGACCGAAAGGTCACCAGTTCAAATACAGGAAGCGGGATGAGCTCCCACTGTTAGCCTTAGCTTCTGACAACCTAGCAGTTCAAAAACATGCAAATGTGAGTAGATCAATAGGTACCGATTTGGCACGAAGGTAACGGCACTCCATGCAGTCATGCAAGCCACATGATCTTAGAGGTGTCTATGGACAACACCGGCTCTTTGGCTTAGAAATGAAGATGAGCACCAACACTTAGAGTTGGACATGACTAAATGTCAGGGGAAAACCTTTACCTTAACCTATATATTGTGCCTTGCTGGAGGAGACATATAGGCTTTGATACAAAGCAAATGGTAGCAATGTCAACCAGGCTTCCCAAGGGTTCTTTATTATAAGGGATGGCCCTTCATTGAGGTCACAAAGAGTCAGAAGCGACAACAATAAAATATTGGCTTTGGTAGCAATGTCAACCAGGTTTCCCAAGGGTTCTTTATTATGAGGGATGTCCCTTATTTGAGGATCAGAAACCTTGTCCCTGATCAGACTGACAGGTGTCCTTTATTATAAAAAATGCCCCCTGTTTGAGGACTGGAAAGCTTTTCGTTTTGATACAGATGGAAGAAGATGTATTTGTGTAGGCCCTTCATAAAGACATAAGTGTAGGCCCTTTCACGTTACATCACACATGTGTGCTATGTGATGTAATGGATGTGGACAATATACTACTTTTACAGAGAAACATGGATTTTTTTTCCATGTCAGGAGTGACTTGAAAAACTGCAGGTCGCTTCTGGTGTATGAGAATTGGCTGTCTGCAAGGACATTGCTCAGGGGACGCCTGGATGTTTTGATGTTTTACCATCCTTGTTTGAGACTTCTCTCATGTCCATGCATGGGGAGCTGGAGCTGACACAGAAAGCTCATCCACACTCTCCCCGGATTCGGACCTCTGACCTGTCAGTCTTCAGATCTGCCAACACAAGGGTTAAACCATTGCACCATTGGGAGCTCCACCCTATTAATATACTTTCAGCACATCTTTGTTCTCAAATGTTTGGGGTGTTCATCATTGTCCCACATCAAACATGGATTTTGTCCACATTGCAGTAGCAGTGTTATTATTTTATCGTCCATTTGTCCTGCCCATTGTGTTTGATTTTATATATGTCAATCTCCTTTGTTTATTTTGTTTTGCTACTTTATGTATTTTATGTATTTTATTCTGATGAAATTTTGTTGCCTGCATTTTGTATTTTATTTTGCTGTATTGTATCTTTGAGCTTGGCCTCATGTTAGCCACCCCAAGTGCCCTTCGGGTAGATGGTGTCAGGGTACAAATAAAGATTATTATTATTATTATCATCATCATCATCATCATCATCATCATCATCATCATCATCATCATCATTGTTATAGCATATTCTCAAATGGGGAGGTTGTGGAAGGATCGTATGCATTCTTGTTTTTGTCTTTTTTAAATGAAGGAGCATCCCCTGTAATTGTATTGCGATTGGAATGATTTTCTCTTTATATTTCTAGATAATTATATTTCTTTCTCTCTCTCTCTCCAGTATATGGGCTGCATTGAAGTTCTGCAGTCAATGAGGTCTCTGGATTTTGGCACGCGGACACATGTTACCAGGTAAGTCGCTCAAGTGGGGAGGGGGAATAACCAGTGAAAACGGGGGAATTGGTTTCCCTCCTACTTTTGCAACTCAGGGTAGTTTTCACCTTGCTCCAGACACCACCACACCACAGCTGTAGGTTTTGTAGTTTATTAAGGAAAAGGTAAAATCAAAACAAAGTAAAAGAAATGCAAAAGTTCCATTGGCAATACAAAGATTTAAATGCAAAGACAAAGTTCCCAAGATCCAAAAACAAAACAGGGAGCATAATCCCTTAGCAATGGTCAAACAAGAGTCCATTGAAAACAGTAGAGAACAAGATCCAAATCCCAGACCCAGGAAGCCAGAAGCGTGCTGCTAAAAGCCAAAGTTAATCCACAGAAGTTTGCATGAGACTTAGGCAATCCCTCATTATCCGAGTATGATGGCCTTCCAAGTGTAGTGTCTTGGCGGTGGATACATTGGTGACTATTCTTGACCTGCATGTTCTACCACAATGAGGTACCTATCTGCACTAAGATGTTAGTGTAGCTTGGCATCATCTCCAAAGTGCGGCAGCTAAAGTTACTTACTTAGGCGATCCCTCATTGTCTGAGTATGATAGCCTTCCAATGGTAGGGTCTTGGCAGTGGATATGTTGGTGACTGTGGAGTCCTATTCTTGGCCTGTATGTTCTTTGGACATTGGATTCCAGGTGGAAGGCTGTCCCAGTCATGGTTGGCTTCATGTGCCTTCCTCTTGATGGGAAACGGCGGGGGAATTTAAGTTTCTGAATACATAACCAATTTGTGCTTTTATTGCTGTCTGAAAACATGTTATATATTGCTTCTGTATCCTTTGGTAGATGGCCAGAGAAAAACAAAGGGAAATCCTTGAATGTGTTCCTATTAATAAGCAACCAATGAGAAACTAATAAGTAACTAACACAGGTATGGATGAACTTGGGCCCTCCAGGTGTTTTGGGGAAAAGGAAGAGGTTTGAGGCTGTGAGGAATTGTGGGAATTGAAGTCCAAAATACCTGGAGGGCCCAAGCTGGCCCATGCCTGGTTTAGCAGATGAAAGGAGAATACATTTTTAATATTTATTTATTTATTTATTTCGCGCATTTCTACCGCGCCATTCTCAACCCCCGAGGGGGGACTCAGGGCGGCTTACAAAAGGCACAATTCGATGCCTACATAAACAATAAAATAAAACATATATAAACAGCAATTATGAACAATTAAAACAATCAATTATATATCACAATCAATAAAACCAATCTCATGCTCAACGTCCGCCAGCTCAGAATCCGTAAATTCATTCCACATTGTCAAATCCTATCAATTCCAGTCGTCATTGTCCTTTATCTATCTGCCAGGTTACCCAAAAGCCTGGTCCCATATCCATGTTTTTAATTTCCTTCTAAAAGAGAGGAGGGGTGTCTATGACCTAATTTCCCCGGGGAGTGAATTCCACAGGTGAGGGGCCACCACCGAGAAGGCCCTGCTCCTCTTCCCCACCAATCTCACTTGTGATAGAGGTGGGACCGGGAGCAGGGCCTCTCCAGAAGATCTTAAACTCCGAGGTGGGATGTAGAGAGAGATGCGTTCGGACAGATACGCTGGGCCGGAGCCATATAGGGTTTTGTAGGTCAAAACCAGCACTTTGAATTGTGCTCGGAACTGGATCGGCAGCAAGTGGAGCTGACATAACAGAGGGGTGGTATGCTCCCTGTATGACGCTCTGGTGAGTAATCTGGCCACTGCCCGCTGGACTAATTGAAGTTTCCGAACAGTCTTCAAAGGCAACCCCACGTAGAGTGCATTGCAGTAATCTATTCGGGATGTAACAAGAGCGTGGACCACTGTGGCCAGACCTGACTTCCCAAGGTACGGGCGCAACTGGCACACAAGTTTTAATTGTGCAAAAGCTCTCCCCGCCACCGCCAAGACCTGGGGTTCCAGGCTCAGCGATGAGTCCAGGATCACTCCCAAGCTGCGAACCTGCGCCTTCACAGGGAGTGTAACCCCATCTAACACAGGCTGTAATATTTCCATAAACCATAAAGGAGATGCTGAAATGTGTTCAAAAGACTGTGCCTATTTATTAAAAGGAGGTGCTGGGATTAAAGCTGAAGCAATGCCTTTAAAAATGAATTGTTAAAAGCTTAAATCGTCAAAGCTCCCATTCGCGACGCTTTAATGCCGCCTTAATGGATTGTTCAGATTCGGAGCCGAGAGCTTTTTGCCGTGGCAATTAACTTATACATATCGTTAAACGGCAGAAAGGAATGCTATAACACATACTTTCAAAACATTTCAGGTTTATGTTCCGCTGTATAGTAGTAGAAGCAAACACGATGTAATTCCGGAAAGGGAGGGGGAGAGACATAAAGGTGAAATCTCAGTCGCCATTTACAACTTAAATGCGAACTCTTATTTTTTTAATGTGCCAGATTTACATGTACATTAGTCAATATTACTGATTCAGCACAGTAATGGCAGTTTAGAAAAAGAAAAGAAGTAATTCTTTACTGTATTCTCAAAATAATTTTAGTAATTTTCTTCCTTGTGCTGTGGAAGGCTTTCATGGCCAGAATCACTGGGTTGCTGAGAGTTTTCCAGGTTGTATGGCCATGTTCCAGAAGCATTCTCTCCTGACATTTCACCCACATCTACGGCAGGCATCCCCAGAGGTTGTGAGGTCTGTTGGAAACAACAAAGGATTCCAACAAGCAGGAAGCAGCCAGGCTTTGAAGCTGCAAGGCTATTCAGTGCTAAGCAAGTTGGCCAGTTGCAACATTCACACTTGCCTCAAGTGGGCAAGAGTTCTTTCTAACACCCTGGACATTATTCCACCAGGAGGGGGAGGGGTATCAGAGGGTCACCAAAGACTATCAGAAAACACAATATTTTCCCTTGATCATAGGGGTTCTTTGTGGGAAGCTTGGTCCAATTCCATTGTTGGTGGAGTTCAGAATGCTCTTTGATTGTAGGTGAACTATAAATCCCAGCAACTACAACTTCCAAATATCAAGGTCTGTTTTCCCCAATCTCCACCAGTGTTCACATTTAGGTATTTTTAGTATCCATACCAAGTTTGGTCCAGATCCATCATTGTTTGATTCCACAGTGCTCTCTGGATGTAGGTGAACTACAACTCCAAAACTCAAGGTCAATGCCCACCAAACTCTTCCAGTATTTTCTGTTGGTCTTGGGAGTTCTGTGTGCCAAGTTTGGGTCAATTCCATTGTTGCTGAAGTTCATAATGCTCTTTGATTGTAGGTGAATTATAAATCCCAGCAAATACAACTCCCAAATATCAAGGACTATTTTCCCCAATCTCCACCAGTGTTCTCATTTGGGTATTTTTAGTATCCGTGCCAAGTTTGGTCCAGATCCATCATTGTTTGCATCCACAGTGCTCTCTGGATGTAGGTGAACTACAACTCCAAAATTCAAGGTCAATATCCACCAAACCCTTCCAGTATTTTCTGTTAGTCTTGGGAGTTCTGTGTGCTAAGTTTGGGTCAATTCCATCATTGGTAGAGTTCAGAATGCTCTTTGATAATAGGTGAACTATAAATCTCAGCAACTACAACTCCCAAATGACAAAGTCAATTCCCCTCTCCCCAACCCCACCAGTATTCAAATGTAGGCGTATTGGGTATTTGTGCCAATTTGATCCAGTGAATGAAAATACATTCTGCATATCAGATATTTAGATTATGAATCATAACAGTAGCAAAAGTAGTTATGAAGTAACAACAAAAATAATTTTGTGGATAGGACTCATCACAACATGAAGAAGTGTATTAAGGGGTCGTGGCATTAGAAAGGTTGACAAACGCTTATTTAGGCCACAGTTCAGTACTCTACTGAATTGTTCGCCTTGTGTCTTCTTATGAATCGCCTGACTTATTGGAGGCTCCTATGGGAGAACAAAGTGGGATGAATATGTGGAGACCAGTCACTTTTGTTGTCCGGTGCCCTAGGGTTCCAGTGGCATGCTTTGCTGCTGCTTGATTGGGGGGGGGGGGGGGGGGAGAACTGGGGCATGCAATATATGAGGAAATGAATGAATGAAAAGTAATGCCTCCACCTTCGTAACTCCTTAACAAATGGCAGTACTGGTATGCGGCAGGTACTGGCTTGTTCAGTAGACTCTTCTCTACAGTTTTATTTTGGCGGGAAGCCTTAGCATTGAACGGTTGTGTTGTTAAAGTGCAAAGTATGGAACCCTGTGCAGACGGTCGGTCAATGCAACTTAAGCAACACGCAGTCATTGAATTATTGACAGCAGAAGGTGTCACCCCAAAGGAGATGCATCAGAGAATGCAAGCTGTTGATGGTGATTGTGTTGATGTGAATACTGTGCGTCATTGGGCGAGCAAGTTTTTAAGATGTTGAGGTGGGAATATCTGACTTGCGTGACAAACAAAGAGTTGGATGCCCTGTGACAGCAACCACTGAGTTTCACAAGCAAAAGGTTGACAGATTGATTCAGGACGATCGTCGTATCACTCAGAGAGAAATTTCAAGCATCATCGGCATTTCACAAGAACGTGTGGGTCACATTATTGCTTTGCTTGGCTATTGGAAGATCTGTGCACGATGGGTACCCAGGATGCTGACGCCTGAAATGAAAGCGCACAGACTTGAAACTTCAGAGACTGGATCTCACCACCGTACAACATCCTCCATACAGTCCAGATTTAGCACTGTCTAACTTCCATCTGTTCTTGATAATGAAAGAAGATCTGCGGGGACATCATGATGCTTCTGATGAAGACGTTGAGAGAACTGTGAGACGCTGATTGCCTACATTTGAATACTGGTGGGGGAGAATTTTCAAGCATAATCGGCATTTCACAAGAACGTGTGGGTCAGATTATTGCTTTGCTTGGCTATCAGAAGATCTGTGCACGATGGGTACCCAGGATGAGAGAATGGTGAGACGCTTGTTGCGGAAACAAAGTGTCGACTTCTTCCGTGACGACTTCAGAAAACTTGTTCATCATTGACAGAAATGTATCCAATTGTCTGGTGATTATGTGGAAAAGTAATAGTGGTAGTTAAAGAGCACATTCTAAGGCCGTGATGGTGAACCTATGACACACGTGTCAGCACTGACACGCATGGCTATTTTTGATGACACATGGCCACATACAAAGAAGTACACCTTATAAGAGCCAATCTAATTCCATCCTTAAACTTGTAAAAGGCTCTACAAATTTAACATCTGCACGTTTGAGCATTGTTCACTCCATAACTCAGCATGGAATATACATTTTTCTTATTGAAACTATAAATATTGCAAAATTATGGGGGGGGGGGTTCTCAAAGTTGACACCCCACCCAAGTAATGCTCAGATTTTTGGCAAATTTTGACACACCAAGCTCACTGTTTTAAGGATTATTTCTGCATTTGATTTATTAAAATATTCCCATCCAAACCCAAGTAAAGAAGGTGGAGGCATTACTTTCCATTCAACCCTCGTACCATATTATTTTCTCCTGGTATCTCATAGAGTGCAAGAAAACTACAGTAGTGCCATACCCACTAAAATTTCAAGGATGAAAACAGTGTGGCCAGGATTGGAGCGGGAAATAAATGTTTTCCCCGAGGGTCTTTCTCAGCTGCAGTGCCCTACGGATTCTTTACATCTATTCATTTGCTTGGAACGTAGCAAAGAGGGGTAGAGTTCTGAAAAATCTACCTTGCGGGATGGCTACAATAAATCTTGAAGAAGGACAGGCAAAACATCTAGGGAGGGGAGGCATCTGAAATCGGATAAGGCCAACTTTGTCTTCGGAATGATTAGGCTTCCTACTTCGACGAGGCACACAATCCCTTTCTGTTATGAGGGTGAAGGCAAGGGCTCCAGTGCTTAAAAGCCCATCTTCAATGGCATTCTTGTTCCCTTACATCAGCCCACTTTCCTTGCTCTCTTCATCTGATTTGCAGAAACAATGAACAAAGTGGGCCAGTGTTGTTGCATGCTTGCTTCTCCTCCAGAAAAGAGCTCCTCTCTGGATTATTGAGCGGGGCGCAGGCCTCAGGCTTGGCAAGTAGCTTGACACCCAAAGACTTCTGCAGTTGCCTTTGAGTGTAAAATGGTTCCTTCCTTACCCTTTCTGCATTTCTCCCAAATATAGAGGCTAATTTATTTAGGCCATTTCTTTCCAGTGATTGCTAAATAACAATAACGATAGCAATAACAATAATATTTGGCAGCCCAAGAACAAGCCATAAAATGGTCACTGCCTTTATTTGATACTTCTGAGAAGTGTTGACCAATGCCATCAAAGCCACAATTGAAAAGTCAACGACAGATCCCAAATGTAGACTCTGCAAGGAAGCAGATGAAACAATAGATCCCATCCTCAGCTGCTGCAAGAAGATCGTGCAGACAGACTACAAGCAGAGGCACAACACCGTTGCTCAGATAATTCATTGGAACTTGTGCCACAAATACCATCTGCCTGTGACAAAGAACTGGTGGGATCACAAGCCGGACAAAGTTACAGAGAATGAACACGTCAAACTCCTCTGGGACTTCCGAATTCAGACGGACAGAGTTTTGGAGCACAAGACCTCTGACCTCACCATCCAAACCAAGTATGGATCATCCCAGTGACAGCAGGGTTGAAAAGAAACAACTGGAAAAGCTGACACGATATGAGGATTTAAAGATCGAACTGCAAAGACTCTGGCACAAACCAGTCAAGGTGGTCCCAGTGGTGATCGGCACACTGGGTGCAGTGCCTAAAGACCTTGGCCTGCACTTAAACACAATCGGCACTGACAAGATTGTGTGTATTCTCTGCATAAGAAGACGCTCTGTTTCTTTCTCTTCTGGGCCCCTGCTTATGCTTGGAGAGAAATCCTTCGCATCTTCATAAAGGCCACGTTTGTTGCTTGTTGTCGGGCGAGATATTTTTCTCAGGTTGCTTTGCAGGAATATGCCACAGTCTGTTTTTGTTCTTCACTCACGTGACAGTTGAGGTTGGCGTGGAGGACAAAAGGTTATAATGGGCTTTCGCAACCCGTTTCCCCACCCTGTGATTATTTACTTGTGGTTGTAAATAGAGTCCGTGCACTCTGAAATGTTCGTTTTCTGTGCTTTAATCAGTGCCTCTGTGTCACCATTGTTCCCTTTAATGCGTTAAGGTTGTAGAAAGTAAACACAGCGAATGCATTCTGATTGCGAGGTCTAGGTGTTGCAAGCACCATTCATTGGGCAACACAAAGTCAGTGACCTTTGGCAAACCCAGCGAGTTCACTTTCCCGGCATAAACTGAGGATAATTAAATGCTACGATTCATGCCAAAACAGAAGATCGGACTGATCTTCGATCAGAAGAGTCTTTGTTGAGCCACAGTAGGAGAGGAAAGGGGGGGAATGAAGCATGCCAATTGACTATCTGCTGTGTAATTGGTCTATCTTTACTATTAAATGCTTACAAGTTCTTTATTAGCCATCAGATGGTCCCTGCCTTTCTCTCTCTTTCCATCTCTACCCAGAGGGACTCTTTCAAAGACATAAAAAGTGTCATTAAATTTTGGTGGAAAGGAAATTTTAGGAACTGAACGTATTTACTTCCTACAACTTAAGTTCTGCCTTAGCAACAACTTTGGAAGATAGGTATTTATTTATTACTAGCCGTCCCCTGCCAGGCATTGCTGTGGCCCCGTCTGGTGATCTGGAAAATAAAGGAATTAGAAAGTGTTGGTTTCTAATATATGTCATTTCTTTATGCTTGAACAGTATTTCTTGCTGTTTCTTTGTCAGGGTTGATGTGGAGAGTGTCTGGTTTGCCCACCCTGGAACATGCAACACATAATTGTCCTTCTTTAGGGGTCCCTTTCAAATCTATGATACTATATCTCTCTCTGTGTGTGAATCATATCTATCTATCTATATCTATGGCTAGATATAGATAGATATATATGATTCACACACACACAGATATATATCTATCTATATTTATGGCTGGAGCCCCCGGTGGCACAGTGGGTTAAAGCACTGAGCTGCTGAGCTTGTTGATCGAAAGGTCGCAGGTTCCATTCCGGGGAGCGGCGTGAGCTTCCGCTGTCAGCTCTAGCTTCTGCCAACCTGGCTGTTCAAAAACATGCAAATGTGAGTAGATCAATAGGTACCGCTCCGGCGGGAAGGTAAGGGTGCTCCATGCAGTCATGCTGGCCACATGACTTTGGAGGTGTCTATGGACAGCGCCAGCTCTTCGGCTAAGAAGTGGAGATGAGCATCACACCCCAGAGTCAGACATGACTGGACTTAATGTCAGGGGACAACCTTTACCTTTTATATCTATGGCTGGATGTCTCTTTGTTAGGAGGGCTTTGATTACGTTTTCTTGCCCTGCTAAAGGGAGTTGGACTGGATGGGGGTTCTGTGTGGGAAGCTTGCCCCAGTTCTGTCGTTGGTGGAGTTCAGCATGCTCTTTGATTGTAGGTGAACTATAAATGCCAGTAACTGCAACTCCCAAATGTCAAGGTCTATTTTCCTCAAGCTCCATCTGTATTCCTAGTTGGGCATATGGAATATTCGTGCCAAGTTTGGTCCAGATCCATCATTGTTTGAGTCCACAGTGCTCTCTGGATGTAGGGGAACTACAACTCCCAAACTCAACGTCCATGCCCACCAAACCCTTATAGTGTTTTCTGCTGATCATGGGAGTCCTGTGTGCCACGTTTGGTTCAATTCCATCATTGGTGGAGTTCAGAATGCTCTTTGATTGTAGGTGAACTATAAATCCCGGCAACTACAACTCCGAAATGACAAAATCTAATTTTTTGACTGATGGTTACTCTTTGGGTTAGTAGGTGTCTTGTGGCCAAATTTGGCGGCAATTTGTCCAGTGGTTTTTGAGTTATGTTAATCCCACAAACGAACATTACATTTTTATTTATATAGATTTACTAGCGTTGTTGTGGCCAACCTTCCCTCGCTCTTTCTGTCCTCCTTTCTTTCTTTCTCTCCTTCCTTCCTTCCCTCTTTTCTTCCTTCCTCCCCTTTTTTTCTTTCATTCTCTCCTTCCTTCCTGCTCTTCCTCTTCCCTTCCTTCCCTTTTCTTTCCCTTCCTCTTTCTCCCCTTTCTTCCTTCTCTACCTATTGCAACTCCCAGCAGCAACTCTACCTATTGCAACTCCCAGCAGTCCTCTTGATCAATCTACTTACCTACCTATCTATCTCTATCTAATGTACCTATGCATCTATCTTGCTTATCTATCTGGAGGATTGCTGGGAGTTGCAATCCAGGAATAGGAAATTGGAAGTATGTTGGGATTGGGGTGCTCTCAAAGAAATCCAAGGAAGCAGTGCATTTGGATCATCCTCTTCTCCTAAAGGGCCTGGTCTAGGGGATGCTGGGAGCTGTAGTCCGGAAGAGAGTGTGAAAATGCTATTATGTGTTTTGTTTGCCCGGAGGAGTCATTTTTGTGCATGCGCTATAGCATCTTTTTTGCTATGGTTTGGACTATCTTAACTCTTTTCTTCTTCTTTTGAAGGGAAGCAATAAGCCGGTTGTGTGAAGCTGTTCCCGGCGCACACGGGGCCACAAAAAAGAGAAAGGTAAATATTGTTATGAATAACTTTTTCATTAACTTTAGAGCATAGGTTTTTTTATTGTAGTTTTTCAGGTTATTTTGTTTTCATTTGAGGAGTGACTTGAGAAACTGCAAGTTGCTTCTGGTGAAAGAGAATTGGCTGTCTGCAAGGACGTTGCTCAAAATATCACAGTAAATATAACAAAACTCAAACACAAGGGAACTCCAGACAAGAAACAATCAGGGACAGCTAATCACCTCTCAACAAAGGATTCCCTCAGGCAGGAACAAGCCATACCTAAAAACTATCAAGCCATCAAATGCTAATCAAGGTGGCCAGTTGAAACATTCACACCTAGCTCCAACATTCCAGCTAAGCATCAATCAAGGCCAGCTAACACCTCTCAACAAAGGATTCCCCTCAGGCAGTAACAAGCCACACCTAAAACTGTCAGGCCATCAAATGCTAATCAAGGTGGCCAATTGAAACATTCACACCTAGTTCCAACAGACAAGAGTTCTTTCTCCCACACCCTTCCAACAAAGGATTCCCCAGGCAGTAACAAGCCACACCTAACAACTGTCAGGCCATCAAATGCTAATCAAGGTGGCCAATTGAAACATTCACACCTAGCTCCAACAGACAAGCATTCTTTCTCAGCCAGACCCACCTTCCACAGATTCCCCCAGGCCGGGGACAAGCCACGCCTAAACTGTTAGGGCCATCAAATGCTAAATCCAAAATCAGTGTGGAAAGTGCCAAATTTTGAAAACCAATGATTCACAAATTTGTCTCAAACGAGGACAAGTTTTCTTTCTTCCTTTTCCCTCTTTTATATCTTGCTCTCCCCTATTTCCAACAGATATAAAACTAGGCCTTAGGCTGGGCAATCCATGGTTCTAAATGGTTCTAAAGTACTTACAAAACTAAAGTTCTGGTGGTGAAAATTTCAGAACTCTAACAAAACTTTCAAAATTTAATTATTATTTCATTATTGGTGATTTTAATGACAGAACCAATTAGGAACTGCCATTTATTATGAAATTTTGAGAGTTTTGTTAGAGTTCTGAAATTTTCACCACCAGAACTTTAGTTTTGTAAGTACTTTAGAACCATTTAGAACCATGGATTGCCCAAGCCTATATAAAACCCATTTTTGTAGTTTCCAACAGACTTCACAAACTCTGAGGATGTCTGCCATAGATGTAGGTGAAATGTCATGAGAGAATGCTTCTAGAACATGGCCATACAGCCCAAAAAACCTACCACAACCCAAACCTACAACAATCCTAAGAGATTGGAAATGTTACTATTTAACCATTTTGTTCTCTTGACAGCCTCCAGCTAAATTCCTGTCTCCTGTGCTTGGGAAAAGCAACCTGCAGTTTTCTGGCATGAATATAAAACTCACCGTCTCAACAACGAGTCTTACTCTGCTGAATGTTGAGACACAACAGGTGGGTTGGTGCATTCCCTCCCTTGTTCTTTACATCCACAGCATTTTTGTTTTGTTTGTGCAGTAACCACCTTAAATATGGTTTTTCTGAGGCAAATCTAAGGATTTTGCTTTCCCTTTTGAATCCTTGGTTTTGCAATATGTTGCGAAAGGATGAGGGGGACATTTAATGTGAGATCTCCTTTTGAAGAGGGAAAGAAACATCAAAACATATTTATAAGTTTGTTTATAAAATATAAATAAATATTCAATATACAAGAATCATGGACTCGTTGAGTTGGAAAAGACCTCATGGCCATCCAGCCCAACCCCTTACTGTCAAGAAGCAGGAAAATATCATTCGAAGCATCCCTGACAGATGGCCATCCAGCCTCTGCTTAGAAGTCTCCAAAAAAGGAGCCTCCACCATACTCTGGACAGAGAGTTCCTCTGCTGAACAGCTCTCACAGTCAGGAAGTTCTTCCTAATGTTCAGGTGAAATTGGAAGAGACTTCATGGGCCATCCAGTCCAACCCTCTGCCAAGAAGCAAGAAAGTCACATTCAGAGCACCCCCAACAGATGGCCATCCAGCCTTTGCTCAAAAGCCTACAAAGAAGGAACCTCCACCACAGTCCGGGGCAGAGAGTTCCACTGTTGAACAGATCTCACAGTCAGGAATTTCTTCCTAAGGTTCAGGTGGAATTGGAAGAGACCTCATGGGTCATCCAGTCCAACCCCATTCTGCCAAGAAGCAGGAAAATTGCATTCAAGGCACCCCTGACAGATAGCCATCCTGCCTCTGCTTAAAAGCCTCCGAAAAAGGAGCCTCCACCACACTCTGGGACAGAGAGTTCCACTGCTGAACAGCTCTCACAGTCAGGAAGTTCTTCCTAAGGTTCAGGTGGAATTGGAAGAGACCTCATGGGTCATCCAGTCCAATCCCTTGCCAAGAAGCAGGAAAATTGCATTCAAGGCACCCCTGACAGATAGCCATCCTGCCTCTGCTTAAAAGCCTCCAAAAAAGGAGCCTCCACCACACTCTGGGGCAGAAAGTTCCACTGCTGAACAGATCTCACAGTCAGGAAGTTCTTCCTAATGTTCAGATGGAATCTCCTTTCCTGTAGATTGAAGCCATTGTTCCGCGTCCTTGTCTCAAAGCAGAAAACAAGCTTGCTCCCTCCTCCCTATGACTTTCCCTTACGTATTTATACATGGCTATCATATCTCCTCCCAGCCTTCTCTTCTTCAGGCTAAACATGGCCAGCTCACTAAGCCACTCCTCATAGGGCTTGTTCTCCAGACCCTTGCTCATTTGCGTCGCCCTCCTCTGGACACGTTCCAGCTTGTCAACATCTCCCTTCAATTGTGGTGCCCAGAATTGGAGGTTATTCATTATATGTAACCATGCTACTACATTCTGTTTTTCAGATTATTGCAAATCACCACATGCAGTCCATTTCATTTGCCTCTGGAGGTGATCCTGTAAGTAAGACTTTTTCTGAACATCTTCTGTTTTCCTTGGCGAGGGGCCGGGGGAGATTGTGGTGCAGCTTGACCTCCTCAAATAACACTTCTTTTCTTTCCGGTTTTGGGTGTTTTAGGACACGACGGACTACGTCGCCTATGTTGCGAAAGATCCTGTGAATCAAAGAGGTAGGAATGGTGACACGATTGTGACTGTGTGGTGTGAGTGAACATCATGGAGCAATAATATATGAGACTTTAGGTGACCCCTCAGTGGCGCAGCGGGTTAAACCATTGAGCTGCTGAACTTGCTGATCGAAAGGTCACAGGTGCGAATCCGGGGAGCGGCGTGAGCTCACGCTGTCAGCCCCAGCTTCTGCCAACCTAGCAGTTTGAAAACTTGCAAATGTGAGTAGATTATTAGGTACCACTCCAGCGGGGTGGTAATGGCGCTCCATGCAGTCATACCGGCCACATGACCTTGGAGATGTCTATGGACAACGCCAGCTCTTCGGCTTAGAAATGGAGATGAGCACCAACCCCCAGAGTTGGACACGGCTAGACTTAATGTCAGGGGAAAACCTTTACCTTTACCCTTAGGTGACAGATCTGAAAGTTCAATACAGAATGCAGACATAATTTATTTTGAAGGCACGTGTGATTACATTCCCATACTGTGTAGTTATTTGGATAAATATGGTATTTATGTTGCACTTCAGCTCTGGAAACACCTATGACCAGCAAATACAACTCCAAAATGACAAAATCAATTTTTTTGAGTGAAGGACATACATTGGTTGTTAGGTGTCTCGTGTCCAAATTTGGTGCCAATTCGTCCAGTTTTTGAGTTCTGTTAATCCCACAAACGAACATTACATTTTTATTTATATAGATATTTTAGCATAATGTATAAATATTAAAATTAATATAATGCCCCTACTTTGTGGATTTTTTTACCCGCACTTCCATACCCGTGTCTCCCACCCCTCTGTCGTCTGTACTTCCGGGGTCTGCGGAGGCCAGGAAGGGCGGAGGGAGTTCCGGCCCGCACGCAAGCCTCCGAGGCCCATTGTATGTAAATATTTTATATTAATTTATTATTAATATTTATTATTTTAAAAGCAAACCGCGAAATAGCGAGGGAACACTATACTCTATTTTCAGCTCTGATTTGTAAACAAAGATTTTACAAGCTACATGTGGTTTCTCCTGGGAACCATCCTTATCACTCTCCTCACTCGATTCCTTGTCTGCTGTTGCTCCTTCTGGCTCCTTTAATTGACTTTGAGACCCTGCACTTTACAAACCAGTTTTTTCACAGAGAGAACCATCATTTCCCAGTCCTGAATTTCCCAGACTTGAGGGCTCATCACTTTGTGCCGCAGTCCTCTCTAAATCAGTTAAACCATCAGCATCTGGCTGATCTACAACAATTTATTACAAACAAATGTTTCCAAAAAGATGAATCTCTGAGAGAAGGGATTTGTGTGTTTGTATGTAAACATTTCACCATATCGGTGTATCCCTGGGAAGTCTGAGCAGATGTGGAAGGAAGGACATTCAAGAGATCATCTCTTTTGTTATCTGATGCCTCATAAGAGACTGGTATCCATGTGCCATCTGATGGCAAAGTTAAGGAAGCGTGCTGCTTTTTCTCCCTGTTTCTCACACTTTCCAGCAAAGATTATGGGAAGCACAGAGTTTTCTTTGTATGCATTCAGCATTTTTAAAGAGACTCGCTCTGAAAGTCTATCAGTAATCACCAAGCAATGAAATGCAGTAAATGCACAAAAGATGAACCAATATAGGATAATGTTTGCAGCTTGGCAGTAATCCTGGATTCATCGCTGGTCAGTCTTATCTTAAATTACAGTTTTTTGTAATTATTTTTGTATTACCGTATATACTCGAGTATAAGCCGACCCGAATATATGCCGAGGCACCTAATTTTACCACAAAAAACCGGGAAAATGTATTGACTCAAGTATAAGCCGAGGGTGGGAAATGCAGCATTTATGAGTCCATTTCAAAATAAAAATAGATACCAATAAAATTATATTAATTTAGGCATTAGTAGGTTAAATGTTTTTGAATATTTACATAAAACTGTAATTCATGATAAGACTGTCCAAATCTGATTAAACCATTATTCTAACCTTCTTCAATGTAAATATGCGTACATGTCCTCCAATAATAATAGAGTAAAATAATAATAATAATAATAATAGAGTAAAATAATAAATGTAACAATAACTATAATAAATAGAGTAAAATAATAAATGTAATAATAACAACAATAATAAAATAATAAATGTAATAATAATAATAATAATAACAACAACAAAGTAAAATAATAATAAATAACATTAACTCGAGTATAAGCTGGGGGAGACTTTTTCAGCCTAAAAAAAGGACTGAAAAACTAGGCTTATGATTGAGTATATACAGTATTTTGTAAAGATTCCTCAGTTAATGTAATTGTATTGATATCTATTTTTATTATTAAATTTGCTAGTAGCAGCTGCATTTCCCACCCTCGGCTTATACTCGAATCAAACCATTTTTCCAGTTTTTTTGTGTGGTAAAATTAGGTGCCTCGGCTTATATTTGGGTCGGCTTATACTTGAGTATATATAGTATTTTATTTTATTGGATTTATGAAATCCTACCTTTTTCCTCCCCAAAATAGGATTCAGGATGTCTTACAGGCATTAAAAAAAAAGATGCCGCTAAAAATGTAATAAATTCAACATCACTGTTATTAAAAGTCTGCTTAAAATAAAACCAGTCAAAACACAACATAATCCAACATGGTTTCAATGAGAGATGAGACATATTTCAGTTAAGCAAGCATGGAATGTTTCCTTTTGTTATGTTTCAGTACGTTAGACATTGTACATGTCAAATATTTTGATCTTAATGTTATATATTTTTTAAATATTGACTGTTTAGAAATGAGCTTACTAATGAAATTAGATGTAAATGTCTGTGTAACTTGGAGACCATTCTTGGTAATTGGCCTGTTAAGCCTTCTCTGATCTAATAAATGCATGTGTTTCCCGCAACCCTCTCCCTCGTTGTTTCCAGCCTGCCATATACTGGAATGTCCCACTGGAGTGGCTCAGGAAGTGATAAACACCATTGGGCAAGCTTTTGAGCTCCGCTTCAAACAATACTTGAAGAATCCTTCTGCTGTGATTACTTCTAATGAAAGGTCAGCACAGTGCTTTTGAAGATTGTGGATATTGCTTTTCTGTTGTCTGCATGTCATTTTCAAGGTTCTTCATAATTTTCAAGGTTCTCGATATGTTCTGGTACGGCTGTACCAGGAGCTCCAGCTTCTTTTTCTTTCTTTGAGTGTTTGCATGTATTTCAAAGTTCCATGCATTTTGCAATAAGGTGGCTTCCCTTGCTTTGCAATTCTAGGGCCAATGACCCATCAATCATCATTAGGTTCTGTTCTGTCGCGCGCTGGGCCTGTAACAGCTGTACTTTTCTATAGGACATATACTATAAGCCCAGCGGGAAGTCAGGGACGCCTCAAAGAGAGGTTCTCAGGGATTTTTCTGAAGTGATGGTCTTTAGAGTCTTTAATGATGCAACGAAGTCTTTATTATGGAACAAACAACAAATCTTCAAAGGTTCAAACAACACTTCAAGGCTTTCTTAGTCTAGTCCACAATGAACTGGCACCTGACTTTGATTAACTAAACTTTCTCTGTAGGAAAAACCCTTTTTAACCTCTCCCAGGCTGCTTACTATCTATGCCTCATCGGTGTGGGACCTACTACTGAACTCTAAGTGCATCTGGGTATCGAGTAGACCTACCAGCCAAGGCTTGAAGATATTTCAGCTGGAGTTCCGTGGATCTGTAATGCTCTTCTCCCTTCGAGAATTCTTAGAAACTTCAGGGCTGTTCCCTCTGATGCTGTGAGGCTGTCAGCTCTCAGCCAGAGCTTTTCGGACCTTTCTCCTGGAATTTCTGCTTCTGTATCCCCGGATGTTATTTTTCTCTGGATGCTTCTTTTTCCCTGGATGGTTGTTGAGAAAGGAAGCTTTTCTACGGGACGAGCTGGTCTACGTCCTATAGCTTAGCTACCTTGTGTGAGACTGCCCAAAAAAATGGCTCTTTCCCTCCCAGAGCCCAGAACAAGGGGCGGAACCAAAGCTTAATTATGATGGACAGGAAGCCTGCCCTATAACTGCAAAACAGATAACAGAAAGAAAATAAAATTGGAGCTCCTGGTACAGCTGTACCAGCACAGGTTCTTTAGTTCCGCCCCTTTTTCTGGGTTTAGGAGGGGAGAAAGGGGACCTCTAGTTCAGTTCTCTCAGAGAAGCCTTTCGTACAGGGTGTGAGTCAGTTCCACCTGTAGAAAGCTTTGTCTTTTACAGCTTTTGCTGGGGGAATTCAGTCCCACAGCTCTACAGAGAAATACAGCTTTTGCTGGTGGAATCCAGTCCCACAGCTCTACAGAGATGCATAGCCTTTGCTGGAGAAATACAGTCCCACAGCTTTACAGCCAGCCTTCGCTGGGAATTGAGGACCTTCTTTCCTCTTGGAAATCTACAAAAGTACTCTGTTTGGTAAGGACCACTCGCGGCAGCCATAACGCAATTTGGACTGGTGTAAGGGCCCACGCCAGCAGAGCCTAAGACAGATTGCCCAGGTAGAGGTCAAGGATTTCCCTGATAGTGAAGAAACAGTTCATAAAGACAGGTGCCTGTCCCTTGTGGACAAGATTAAGAAAGCGACCAGTTGATTCAAAGCCTTAAAGTATTTGTTTGATTTATTGAAGACCTAAGCACTAATAAAGAACTTTGTTAAACTTTCCAAGTTTCTTAAGACTTTGTTTAGGGAAATCTATAGGGCTTCTAATCCGAGTTATCCCTGGCGTCCCGTTGGGCATACAGAGCACGTCCTGTCTACAGACCTTTTCACAGGCCCAGTGCGTGACAGCACACAATACATACATACATTAGGCTTGGTTGATAAAAAAAATTGTTCAAAATTCGTTTCAGATGTAAGGAGCGCTGGTGGTTCGATTCGGAATTAAATTCAGAATTTTTCTGGAAAAAAAAATTGGAACTTTCCGAAATTGGGACTGTGGCACCGGGACTGTGGCACAGCTGGCTGGGTGTCAGCTGCATTAAGATCACTACTGACCAAAAGGTCATGAGTTTGGAGCCAGCCTGGGTCGGAGTGAGCTTCCGGCCAATTTGTGTAGCTTGTTGTCAACCTTTGCAACTCGAAAGACAGTTGCATCTGTCAAGTAGGAAATTTAGGTATCACCTAAGTGTGTGGAGGTTAATTTAACAAATTTATGAGGCCATAAAAAAAATCTCCAGCAAAAGCATGCGGGGAATGCTGAAAATTCTATCCCAGTATATTACCTTGTTCATGCCCAGCATTATTTTTTAATTTTTAATTATCACTTTTGGCCCAGCCATAGGTTTTTAAATGCTTGTTGTTACAGTTACTGTTTATTGTTTATTTTTTGTTTATGAGATTTATTTTGATTGTTTTGTATTGATGTTTTGTTATTGCTTTTATTATTGTTGCTCTATGGGCTCGGCCTCATGTAAGCCGCACCGAGTCCCTTGGGGAGATGGTAGCGGGGTATAAATAAAGTATTATTATTATTATTATTATTATTATTATTATTATTATTATAAAGTACTTCATCAGTGTCGCAGATGGATGGTGAAGCGACAGCTCCCCAGGTGGCCAGAAAATTGGAAATGTTAAATAGCCTCTGTCTGTCTGTCTATATGTGTTGTGTGTCTATGCCATTGAATGTTTGCCATGTATGTGTACATTGTAATCCGCCCTGAGTCCTCTGCGGGGTGAGAAAGGGGAATATAAATACTGTAAATAAATAAATAAGTAAGTAAATAAATTTCCGAATCACTTCGTTAATGGCAATTAGGGAAGTATAGGCACTTGGCAGGAAACTGAGAGGAAGCATAAGAAACATGTTTAAATGGGGCCGCGGTGGCACAGTGGGTTAAACCCATGTGCTGCTGAACTGCTGACCTGAAGGTTGGCAGTCTGAATTTGCAAGATGGAGTGAGCTCCCATCTGTCAGCTCCAGCTCAAAAACATGCAAAAGTGAGTAGATAAATAGGTACCGCTTCTGCAGGAAAAGGCAAAAAGACGTTCCAAATAATCTTGCCATCCACACAACCAGGGGGTGACAACGCAAGGTCCTCGGCTTGAAAATGGAGAAAAGCCTCTACAGAGCCAGAGATGAGCTGGAAATGAAATGAGAAACCTTTGCCTTTGTTTGTGTTTGTGTGCCTTAATTGTGTATGACTGTAAAGACATCGAATGTTTGCTTATGTATGTAAATGCTGTAACCCACTCCGAGTCCCCTAGGGAAGAAGGGAATAATGTAAATAAAGTATTATTATTATTATTATTATTATTATTATTATTATTATTATAAAGTAGCTGTCCCCTGCCACATGTTGCTGTAGCCCAGTCTGTGTATATGTGCTTTGTGTATGTGTATATATGTATATATTTGTATATATGTGGTTTTGTGCATGCATTGTAATGCATTTTGTTGGTTTTTTGGCTTTTTAAGTCCCTTCTGTTGTGTTTTTCAGTGTTCTTGTGAGTGATGGTCACTTGTTGGCCTGATAACGTGTATTGTGTCCAAATTTGGTGTCAATTCATCCGGTGGTTTTTGAGTTATGTTAATCCCACAAACGAACATTACACTTTTATTTATATAGACTAGCCATCCCCTGCCACGCGTTGCTGTGGCCCAGTCTGTTGATCTGGAAAATGAAGTAATGAGAAAGTGGTGGTCTCCTAATATATGTAATGTATTTCAGATTGTGGATAAAAACAGTATTTCTTGTCGTTTCTTTGTCAGTGTTGATGTGGAGATTGTCTGGTTTGCCTACTCTGGAACATGCAACATGTAATTGTCCTTCTTTAGGGGTCCCTTTCAGATCTATGCTACTATATCTCTCTCTGTGTGTGTGAATCACATATATCTATCTATATCTATGGCTGGATGGCTCTTTGTCAGGAGGACTTTGATTATGTTTTCTTGCCCTGGTGAAGGGAGTTGGACTGGATGGCCTTAAGTGTTTTCTGTTGGTCATGGGGGTTCTGTGTGGGAAGTTTGCCACAGTTCTGTCGTTGGTGGGGTTCAGAATGCTCTTTGATTGTAGGTGAACTATAAATCCCTGTAACTATAATGTCAGGGTCTATTTTCCCCCCAATTCCATCTGTGTTCATATTTGGGCATATTGAGTGTTTGTGTAGAGTTTGCCCAGATCCATGATAGTTTGAGTCCACAGTGATTTCTGGATGTAGGTGAACTACAACTCCAAAACCAAGGACACTGCCTACCAAACCCTTCCAGTATTTTCTGTTGGTCATGGGAGAACAAGTTTGGTTCAATTCCATGTTGGTGGGCTTCAGAATGTTCTTTGATTGTAAATCCCAGCAACTACAACTCCCAAATGACAAAATCAATTTTTCTGAGTGGAGAACATACATTGGGTTGTTAGGTGTCTTGAGTCCAAATTTGGTGTCAATTCATCCAGTGGTTTTGAGTTATGTTAAACCCACAAACAAACATTACATTTTTATTTATATAGACTAGTGGTCCCCTGCCACACGTTGCTGTGGGCTCATGGGGGTTCTGTGTGGGAAGTTTGCCCCAATTCTATCGTTGGTGGGGTTCAGAATGCTCTTTGATTGTAGGTGAACTATAAATCCCAGCAACTACAACTCCCAAATGTCAAGATTCTATTTTCCCCAAACTCCACCAGTGTTCACATTTGGGCATATTGAGTATTCGTGTAGAGTTTGGTCCAGATCCATTATTGTTTGAGTCCACAGTGATCTCTGGATGTAGGTGAACTACAACTCCAAAACCAAAGGACACTGCCCACCAAACCCGTCCAGTATTTTCTTTGGTCATGGGAGAATTGTGTGCCAAGTTTGGTTCAATTCCATCGTTGGTGGGGTTCAGAATGCTCTTTGATTGTAGGTGAACTATAAATCCCTGTAACTATAACTCCCAAATGTCAGGGTCTATTTTCCCCCCAATTCCATCTGTGTTCATATTTGGGCATATTGAGTGTTTGTGTAGAGTTTGCCCAGATCCATGATAGTTTGAGTCCACAGTGATTTCTGGATGTAGGTGAACTACAACTCCAAAACCAAGGACACTGCCTACCAAACCCTTC